GCTGTAATTTTGTTGTTGTTTTTGAAAAATGGTCTTTTGTAATCCAGATTAGCCTTAATTCACTATGCAGCCAAGGATGACCGTGAACTTCTAATTCTCCTGCCTCTACCCTCCACCTCCCAAGTGCTGGGACTGGTGAAGATCCAGCCATATCTCATATTATTTTTCTAATGATATACCAAAATAATATAAATATATGTCATTCTCTAAAATATTCATGACTTTATTTTCATACTGGCTGGTTAACTGATTTGTCTTGGAATCTCATGTCTCATGCTGAATTCATACTTGTCAGCCTAGGGAATGTCCCCACAGCCCACAACCCTATGAAAGAGCAAATGTTTCTGAGGCATATGAGATTCATATTAATACTAGTGACTGCTTATCATAAAAGCGGGAATTCCTCAAACATTATTAAACTTGAAACTGAGTTCATGTTTACACACAGAACCTGAGTTTTAACCAGCTGTCTTTGGTTCAGTGGTAATTCAGACATTTAACTTGTGTTTATCATAGCTGGGTGATAAAGCAAACTTAAACTGCAATGGCTTCAGGTTCATCCAGAAGGTGTGGTCTTTGAATAATTAGCTTAATGTTGCCATTGAAATATTATGGTTCAGAAAAATTTTGTCCAATGTCCCTCTCTATTCATTGTGCCACACCCCAAAATAAAGTTAGCAAGATGATCACAAGATCTCATCACCATTAAAATCTTGTGACACCATATCAACTGGTTAAAGGTTAGTGACTCAAACACTGATCTTCCAGGCATTTGCTCTAGTGTCTGGAGAGTTCCTGTCAAGGTATCCCTTCGGAGTGTAGGAAACTTCCATACTGAGCAATATCTAAGCACAGTGCCTCTGCAGCTGATCTATGATGCCTGCAAGCAGGAAAAAAACTTGAGAGTTGCTGAAGATAATTAACTATGTAAAATAAAGATCATTTGGGAACTAGAGAGATAGATAACTCAGCAGTTAAGAGTACCAACTTCTCTTGCAGGGGACCTGAGTTAGGTTCCCAGCACCCACACTAGGCAGCTCACAACCACCCGTAATTCCACATCTGGGAAATCCAGTGCCTCTTCTGGTCTCTGAGGCAGCTCACAACCACCTGTAATTCCACATCTGAGGCAGCTCACAACCACCTGTAATTCCACATCTGGGGAATCCAATACCCTCTTCTGAGGGCCATGTGCACATACCCACATATAGATAAATAGTCAAACATATAAGTAAAAGTAAAATAAAATCTTTAAAATAAAGATAATTTCTTGTTAAATATATTACTATCTTTGAACTGCACATACCCTGTCCATTTGCATAAGGCTGGATTTATGGGTCACATAGGCTGACATTGCCTATGAGACAAAGCATGTATCACTAGCAGTCAACTTGCTTACTACAATATCCAACTATCTAGCCCATTGAGGAATTCAATATTTCACAGAATAATAAACAATTTCATGAAAACAACGGCTTTCGGTAGAATCTCAGCTAAATTATGCACTATCATTCCTGAAATTGACTGATTCTGAAACCCATGCAAGACATCCAGCCCCATTCTATATCACACAACATGGCAAGCTAGCTTTGTGCAATAACAAGAATTTGATCTACAGACAGAATCCCGGGTCCCTTCCCACTCATCACTCAATGTGAGTGACTTTCACACACCTTCAAGGTCTTTTGCTCCCTTTGGGAACTGGAACAACAATTGCCATTTCTCAAATGTGACTGTGTGTCAGGTAAGACTGAATCACAGGCAGCTAAGGCTAGAGATGACATCAGAAACAAGGTCAGGGTGTGAAAACAGGAGGAAACTAAGGTTCCAGAGGTTAATGATTTGCCCAGGGTCAAAGAGTAGATAGTTGGAAATCAGAATCAGAATTCATGATAATTAAATAGACTATGGCATTTGTACAGCAATTGCATAATAGATAAATTTTTAAGAAAGTAAAAACTTGCAGACAATAGCAGTCATGGATTATATTATGATTGGAAAGTGCCTTTCTTGTTTATGGTCCCTAGAGACCCCCTAATCAAATAGCTAGCTTTACAGATGAAAACCTGTAACTTGAAAACTATGTAACTTGAATGAGAACTGAAGTCTTTTTCTTTGCAAAAGGTATCATTTTTATGCGCAAAACAAGTTATAAAGGGTTTTAAAATATAAGTGGTGAAAATAAAGGCTGAGATAAACAATTGTGCACAGGCTTTGAGGGACAGCTGCAGTTGCGTTTTGGAACTGGGAGCCTTGATGATGTCTATGGGCTTTTTAATTGCAGTATTGTTTTATTTTCCATGTGGGGCAGTGAAAGAGCGAGATGGTAGCTAGCTTGTTCCTAGATCTGAAGGTCAGAATTCAAATCTGGTTAGGAGAGTGGATATGGTCCCAGCACTCGGGAGGCAGAAGCAGGTGGATCTCTGTGAGTTCAAGGCCAGCCTGGTCTACATAGTGAGTTCCAGGACAACTGGGGCTACAGGGAGACCCTGTCTCAAAAAGACTAAAAAAAATAAAAAGGGGGGGTTCTCATGAAACTGGCTGTGGGGCTCAGAATAAAGAACTGCCAATCTAGGTACAGATGTCCAAGTCAGAGAGTCAGAACTATATTTGAGCATTGATATTACTGGACTCTCAACTGTGTTCACAAGCCGATATGAGCCAAAACAATCAGAGTACAGTGTAACAGTATTAAAAATTATAGATAAGCCAGGCGCAGTGGCACCCACCTTTAATCCCAGCACGTGGGAGGCAGAGGCAGGCAGATCTCTGTGAGTTTGAGGCCAGCCTGGTCTACATAGTAAGTTCCAGGCTACTGGGAGACCCTACCTCAAAACAACCAAAAAAAAAAAAAAAAAAACCAAAACAAAACAAACCTACAGACACACCCTAACTTGGAGAAAGTGATGAATCTTATATTGTGGGATTATTTTCCAAACTATTTGTAACCTTAACACATGTCTGTGCTGTTGCCAAATTAATATTGGTGAAATAGAACCAACCATGTGTCTCCACATTCAGGATCCTCTGTCTCCCTCCCCTATGCATATGGAATAAACTCTTTTTTAAAAAATATTTATTATTTTTTAATTTTATGTGTACAAGTATATTGCCTGCATGTATGTGAGTACACCCATGTTGTGCATTGCTGCGGAGGTCAGAAGAGGGTGTTGGATCCCCTGAAACTGGAGTTAAGGACAGTTCTTAGCCGCCATGTGGGTTCTGGGAATCAAACCCAGGTCCTCTGTAAGAGCAGCCAGTGCTCTTAACCTCTGAGCCATCTCTCCAGCCCTGGAATAAACTCTTTTGACATGTGCTGGTATCACAAAATATTGGCAAGGTACAAACAGTAAAACAAAATGCTTGGATGAAAAACAGAGACCTGAAGACCAATTCTGGCTTCATCATTTACTGGTTAGGCTACCTTGAGTGAGAGCTAGGCAGTTCAAACCTCATGCAAACTAAAGCAGTGTATGCTGGGAAAGTCTGTGATTAACAGCTGCCTCACAGGGTGTCTGTTGTGATGTTTCCCCTTTCATCTCTGACTTTGTTGATTTGGATTTGCTCTTTCTTTCTTTTGGTCAACTGGGCTAAGGGTCTGTCTATCTTGTTTAGCTTTTCAAAGAACCAGCTCTTAGATTCTTGATTCTTTGCATTGTTTTCTTTGTTTCTATTTCATTAATTTCTGCTTTGATTTTATTATTTCTTCTTTTCTACTGGGTTTGGGTTTTATTTGTTCT